GGTTTCCGACAGCGAGCGTCCCTTGGATAGGTGTTCGGCGGGCAGTCTTCTTTGCGCTGTTTGAGACCAGGTATCGAGTGTTCTACCTAGAAAACCCCAAGCCTACACCTTTAGGCAATCTACAAAACAAAGTAGCTTTCGGTTCCTTGGTAGAGTTTTTACAGCCCTACATGCGATTTCTGCATGCCAGTGTAAGATAGAGTATACAACGCCCCACGCTCACCAAATGATGGTAGATCTCTGGTGCCCAGCCGGCGATTCGCATGTCGGGTTTAGGGTTTAGGGCTTTGGGTTTAGGGTTTAGGGTTTAGGGTTTGGGGCTTCAAGAGTTTCTTTTCTTGGGTTGTTCTTTAGCCGGAGAAAGAAATGTCCCTTAAGTCCTGAGAAGGACGCAGAATACCCCAAACCCTAAACCCTAAGCCCTAAAGCCTAAACCCCAAACCATTCTCCTTAACTTCTTGGGAGTTGAGTACCCACTGCTTCTGAGTAGCCCAGTGGTACCCTTTACCCTTTTTTTGGTTATGGGTTCCCTTATAAAGTAACCACCCCCAAAAAAGGGTGCCCTTATCATAATAAGGTTACTGGGCTACTACAAGGAGGGGCCCTCTTACAATACAAACTGTAATGCAGAGACTTCTAACCTAATTTCGGATCCTTATAACCCAATTTAGGGTCCTTATAACTCTACTTATAACTAGGGGGGGGGGGGGGGGGGGGGGGCCCTCCTTTGTAACCCTAAACCCCAAACCCGGAACCCTAAACCCTAAACCCTAAACCCTAAACCCTATTCAGGCTTGCCCCGCACCTTTCAAGGCCACACCCCGGCTGTCCGAAGCGCGCGATTTTCGAGCTCTGCAGCTGCCCTGTGAACAAGGCCTAGCGGCCAGAAGGCACGGGAGATAGGGTTTAGGGTTTAGGGTTTGGGGTTTAGGGTTTAGGGTTTAGGGTTTAGGGTTGAACCCAATGTGCTCGGGTTTTTGGTTCAGGGTTTCACGTTTACATACACTTTGCTTTGGAAAGACACCGGAGTCTGCTGGTGCTTCAGGGTCGCATCTGGCTAGAGCCGAAGCAGTCTACAAACCGTACCAAATTTGGTCATAGTTGGGTATCATTTTACAGGTTTAAGGGTACTTAAACCCAATAAGGAATATAGATTTAAAATTTTAAATACGATCCCAACCATGAACTACCAAACTTGTTCAGTGCTAGGGTGCGAATGAGGGTCATGGAATCGAACCAATGGCTGTTGTGAATTTCGGATGAGGGTTTACAAGGAGGGGCCCCCCCTAGTTATAAGTAGAGTTACAAGGACCCTAAATTGGGTTGTAAGGATCCTAAACTAAGTTATAAGTCTCTTGATTACAGCTAGTATAGTAAGGGGGCCCCTCCTTGTAGGATTTAGGGTTCAGGGTCCAGGGCTGAGGGTTCAGGAAGTCCCTGTAATTCCTGTAGCTCAAGGTTTGGGGGTTGTGAGGCGAGCCCTTTCCGAGATGAGGTCACCAGAAAAATAAGTGTAGTCGGCTTCTCTTCAAATGCTCCCGGGCCCATGTGGGTATCTGTCAAAAGGCAAGCCCATACCACGCGACGACCCTCGATCTTCGACCACCAATCGTTTAGGCTTAGTTTAAGGGTTTAGGGTTTAGGGTTTTAGGGTTTTAGGGTTTTGGAGTTTTAGGGTTTTAGGGTTTTGGGGTTTTGGGGTTTTAGGGTTTTTAGGGCTTTAGGGTTTTAGCGTTTAGGGTTTTTAGGGTTTTAGGGTTTTGGAGTTTTGGGGTTTTGGGGTTTTGGGGTTTGGGGGTTTTTGGGTTTTTGGGTTTTTGGGTTTTGGGTTTTTGGGGTTTTGGGGTTTTAGGGTTTAGGGTTGAGGGTTTAGGGGCTAGTAGGACCCAGAGTAGGCCCCTATTCCCTTTTTTAGGGTTCAGGCTCCCTTATAATTCAGCCCTTTTAAACCACGAAGGGTCCCCTTTTATTCCTAAATTACTCTTGGGTCTAGTATTTGGGTCCAGGGTTCAGGGCCTAGGGCATACCATGGGGTGGAGCGCTTAGGGTACCAAGCGCTGAACCCTACAAACCTTAGAGAAGCAACCACATACTAGGACCCGGAGTAGGCCCATATGTCCTTTTTTCAGGGTTGGGGTTCCCTTATAACCCCCTAAAAACCACAAAGGGTACCCGTTTCATTCCTGTGTTACTCCTGGGTCTACAAGGAGGGGCCCCCTTACTATACTAACTGTAGCTAAGAGACTTATCATAACTTAATCTAGGATCCTTATCACCCAATTTCGGATCCTTAAATAACTCTACTTCTAACCAGGCAACCTCTCCTTGTAGCGTAGCAGAGTTCACATCTGGGATCGCGTGGTATCGGCTCGCTCAAGTTCCTGACTATATATGCCTCCAAAGGAGGATGTCCGACACGCGATGGCCATGTTGAAGAAATGCCCGCCCGGGCTTGGGGTGTCTCTACAGCCCTAAACCCTAAACCCTAAACCCTAAACCCTAAACCCCCCAAAGCCTAGAAGCCCTAACCCTAAACCCCTAAAAGCCCCAAACCCTAAGAGACCTTGGCTTGACTGCAGCAACCCAAAAAACCCCTCTGCAGTTTTTGAGTTCGGGGCTCCACCCCGAACCCCAAAGCCCAAGAGCACTCGCAGTCAGAAATGCCCTTACGGTTTAGGCATTGGGTTTAGGGTTGGGTTTAGGGTTCAGGGGTTCAGGGCTTCAGGGGTTCAGCGGTTCAGCGGTTCAGGTGTTAGGGGTTTTGGGTTAGGGTTTAGGGATTAAAGTTTAGGAGTTTAGGGTCTAGGGGGGCGAATGCTTGATTCTCGTAGGCCGGGTATTCCCTTAATTTAATGCCCCCTATACTCCGCGCCCTGAATCTCCTTGAGCCTGGCAGAACCTACGAGGGAACCTTGGCCCATTTCGGTAAACAGCTTCTAGTATCACTTGCAGGTATGGGGTGGGGGGAGCAACTCTGAACTCCGTTTCTCTTTCAGCCCTAAACTCTGAACCAAAATCCCTGTTAAGCCTCAAGCCTACCAGCCCTAAAGCCTGTACGAGCAACCTTGCATCCTTGGTTTTCTCCCCCGCCACCTGTTCGAGCTGTTCGTGGCCATTTTTCAAGTTGTTTTATTCGGGGAAAAACTTTGGCATTTCAAAGAACCTGCATGGACATGTGACACATATCCACCAAAACCCTAAGCCCTAAACCCCAAACCTAATTTTAACGCTACGCGACCCGCCTCGGCCCGGCCCAGCGCATCCGCGTGAGCATGGTGATTCCGCAGCGCCCAAGTCGCTGGACCCCAAGCAATAAGGGTTGGGTTGAGGGTTGAGGGTTGAGGGTTCCGGGTTTATGGTTTATGGTTTGGGGTTTGGGGTTGAGGGTTAGTTTAGGGCTCAAGGTTCACGCTTTGGGGTTGAGGGTTTTTTTGGGTTTAGGGTTCGGCTTGGAGTGATCGTAGGGTTGAGCCAGACCCCTTAAGGTTTAAGGCGACGAGGGGGGACGTGGGGTGGGGGAGGTGGGGTGGGGGGAGGGAGGAAGGGGGGGGGGGGGGGGGTTGGGGGGGGGGGGTGGGTGGGGGGGGGTGGGGGGGTGGTGGGGGGTGAAGATCTGAGATCAGCTGGGTCTTGATGTCCAATCATAATGCATGTTGCTCTCATGCTCAAGGTTCTAGCGGATACTACTCTACTCCGTGCGCCTGGAGTAAAACAGAGACTCCTGTCCGCCTTGCTGACTGTACCTTAGTGAGGTCAGTAACGCTCAGGTTACATCTCAACGTGGTAGCGGAGCTTACTGGGACATACCCGGTGTGCTCTGTGTCAACAGAGGTGACCGGGGTAAAGTCCCCCGGCATACTCTGTGAACATAGAGAGAGCCGGAAGCTCGCGCCCAGTAGCAGATCCAGGCAGAGTAGAAAGCCATGGCTAGTTCAACGGCATGGTCGTACCAGAACGACTACGATGAAGAACTTGATGGTGAAGTCTTTGCTACGCACAATCGGTCACTGCATGAGTTGCAGAGATTGTCGGCTTTTCAGCAGGTGACGACGAAGGTACCGCCTGCGTATGATGGTCGAAGTAGCTGGTTCGCCTATGAAGACGCGATAGACGATTGGTGCGACATCACAGAGTTAGAGCCAGAGAAGCAAGGCCCGGCATTGCGGAATCGATTGGAAGGAGAAGCAGCCATCCACAAGCGCCTGTTAGATCGTGACAAGCTGAAGGACAAGACCAATGGCGTGAAGTACTTCAAGTCTTACTTGAGACCCCTCTTCGTGAAGGGAGCCGCCAATGTTTTCCTTTATCGTTTCCAGCAGTTCATGAACCTCCACCGAGGCAGCAGTGACATGCTCAGGTGGATGACCAGATTCTTTCTGGAGCGATCTCGACTACAGGAATCTTGGGATGACACCTACGTACCCATCACAGATCCGAACAATGCCGAGGTTTCTGCATATCTTCTTGGTTTGTCAACACAGGACCAAGCAACAACAACTCGAGAAGAAGCGATGGAGGCTCTGAACCAAAGATTCAAGGCCACCCACAGTGCAGCGATTCCTATTCCTGAAGGCTTGAACGCCCTGATGTTTGTCAGCCTGTCCGACCTCACGCAGGACCAACGACAAGTGCTGACTTCACTGATGGCTCATAGGAATCGTGCCTTGGGTGATTACAGAGTGGCAGAGCTTCGCGAAGTGTACCTGGAGGTCTTCTGCACCACGCGAACGTCGGTCGACAACCCCTTGTTGGCGCCATCCTCCCAAGGAGGCCGCAAAACCTTCCTGGTTCTCGACGAAGGCTTCATCGATGATTCCCAAGGCTTCTGGGTTGAAGATGAGGATGAAGGTGTCGAGGGCTTCTTGGAGTTGGACGAGGATTGCTTCTGGGTCTACGACGACGAGTCCGCAGCGTGGTTTCAGAGACGTTTCCAAGGAAGAAGAATGAAGCGAGGCCCCTTCAAGGGTCGGAAGAAAGGAAAAGGCAAGGGCAAAGGCCGAGGAGGCCGAAGGTTCTTCAAGAAGAAGAAGGGCAAAAGCCACATGGTTGAAGAAGATGCCTGGCAGACAGAGTGGCAGTCAGAGTGGCAGGAGACCCCGTGGGACTCTTGGTCCTGGGAAGAAGCCACTACGGACGAGTCCTTCGCTGCCAAGGGCAAGGGAAAGAAAGGGAAGAAAGGCAAAGGAAAGGGCAAATGGAACAAAGGAGACAAAGGCGATGGAAAAGACAACGCCGCCCATACTGCTGAAGCTTCCCAAACAACCAACACAGTGGCAGCCTCTACCTTCTACGTTCAGAACGTCATGCCCGATGAGCCTTCTCACTACGAGAGTCCATTCGAATCCTTCATGGCTACCCCAAAGGAAGAGTCGTCGTTTTTGACGCATGCCTTGACGCCAACTTCAATGGTTTTGGATTTGGGGTGCACTAGGGCAATGACTTCCAGGAGAGCAGCCAAGGATCTCATGAACTTTTGTGACGAAAGTCCGAATTGCGGCATTTGGTACAGGTTGGAGCAAACTACTTCACAATTCACCTTTGCAAATTCTGAGTCTGCAAGCTGTCAGCAGAAAATTGTCATCTGCATGTATGACCGAGAGTCGGCAGTTCAGTCCACCGAGTTTGACATTGTGGAGCAAGGTGAAGTACCAACCCTCATGTCGCTACCTCAAATGCGAAATCTTCGATTCCAATTGAGCCTTCATCCGGACAAGGCCTTTTTGAGCAGCCCTGTGTTAGGCATTAAGTCCTTTCGGCTGAAGGTTGCAAGGTCTTCGCATCTCATCCTCGACTTGCTTGATGTAGCCAACTACATGTGGAATGTGAGATTTGAGAAGCACAAGAAGGTGAGCTTCTTCACTGAGACAGTCCACTACGAGTTTGGCTACAATCAGGGAGAAACTGGGAAGCTTCCCAAGAGGGAAGGAACCCAGGAAGCTCTCGCTGTTGAAGATGAGTGGTTCCTAGATGAAGCAAAGCAAGAGTTGATCCGAATCCACAAAAAAGAGAGGCATCAAGTTTTCGTTCCAAGTTTGTCGCCAATTCCCCTGGAATACCTCGACTCCAAGAGAGCCACGATCTTCGAGTTCGTCGATGGCACGAAGGAGACGAAGGTCGATGATTGGAAAGAGGTTGCTCAGAAGCGCCAGGAAGTCAAGCCTAAGGCTTGGAAAGGAAAGACTGTTTTTCGAATCCTTCCAGGAGGCATCGAAAATAGGACTTCTGTAAAGGCACGAACCACAGGTTCGGGTCCTGGTCGTCGGGGAAACCCTGATGATGTAGTTTCGAAAGGAAGGAAAGACTCTCAAAAGTCAAGGGTTCGAGTGTCAGAGAAGTCCAAGACAGGAAGCTTTCCGAAGGGAAAGGAACCTAAAGGAACTGGAAGCTTCCCTACAGGGAAGGAACCAGCAGTTGACGAGCCCGTTGAGGGCTTGCGTGATGACTCTCTAGAAGAATGTGCTAAGCGCATTCTCGATGGAGCAGGGAAGGACTCTAAAGGAGGGCTCCCTGAGAGCGATTTGGACTATTCTCCTTCAGAAGCAGAGATTCCATATGATCCAGCGAAGGAACCAGAACGTCTCGGAAGTGAGGCGCTAGAACCTAGGCGGATTTCTCTTCCACTTCCGGGACAAGAGGTGTCCCGTGCTTCTCCGGCGTACAAGCGAATGATCGAAAAGTTGCGAAATGAAGTAGAACTCTACAAATTGCATGTGAAGCATTACCACATGAGTCCATCGCAATTTCGACGCAGAACTGCAATGCTTGGCCTGCCAGGAGACATCTACGAGAAGTACGAAAAGATTTATCGTACCTGTAGGATTTGCAGCACTTCCGTGCCATCGCCGCCGCGAGCCAGAGTAGCAGGTTTACGTGCATCGTCGTTTGGAGACCTGATTTTTGTCGATCACGCTGAAATCAACTATGGTGCTAATAGCTATTTAGTGCTTTTGATCATCGATGGCGCAACAAATCTGTTGTGGGCTACGGCCTTGCGCGGTTTGACTGCTGAGGAGACACTAGGGGCCTTTCGTCAGTGGTTCGAGGAAAACAACTGCATGCCCAAAGGAATCGTAGGAGATCAAGCCTTCTTTACGGACGACTATCGTGAGTTTTACCGTTTTCATGGTATAACACCTTATCCTTGCGGACCAAGGACGCCCTGGCCAAACAGAGCTGAAACAGCTGTGAGATTGTTCAAGCGAACTTGGGCAATCATGGCAAAGGCTCTAGCTGATGAGGGTTATGTTGAAAGGATAACTGTTCGCCAAGCAGCTAAGAAGGTAGTTTGGGCTAGAAACTGTCAGTTGACTATTGCAGGATACTCACCTCTTGAGATAGCGACAGGGCGCAGACCGCCTGATCTTTTCGACATTGAAACCTGTAACCCTGAACAGCTTTCCTCAGAGCCCCCGGCAGAGGACAGGACCATTCTGCAGCTTCAACGCATTGCACTGAAGGCGCATCAGGAAGCACGTCAGGCCGTGGACCTTCGCAAGGACTTGGCAGGACGGGTGATGCCCTCAGATGGTCCCTACTCGCAGGGTGATAAGGTGTTTGTTTGGATGAAGGACGAATCAAAGAAGAAATCCGAAGGAATCTGGGTTCGAGGTAAGGTTGTTTCACAGGAAAGTGCCATGGTGTTAGTGCAGATCCATCAGTCTGTTTTGAGAGTGAACCAGTCGAAGGTGAGAAGAGATCACGATCCATGGCATGATGTGTCCATACCTTTGAGTCCAGAAACGGAAGGCTCTCCCAGTGGAGAGGGATCCGAGTATGCCTGTGCTTGCTGTTATTCTCATGAGATCGGTTACTTCAACTACTATGGAGAAGCATGTGATTTTGTTGAGATAACAGCCTCTCTCACTGGCGTGTCGGCTTGCGCTGCCCAATCTGACTTAAGGGTCGGTGAGCCGATTGAGTCCAAACACTGGAGTGAGAAAGGAGTCCAGAATTCCATTCAGTTGGCTTGGAATGTGCTTGAGAAAGGAAACCCCCGTCATGTGATGATCCATCCCGTGGTTCCTGAGAACTGGAACAGGAAAATGAAAAAGGCCTTTTGGCAATTCTGTGCTGATGTTACTCGTTGGCAAGATGACCGAGGCCTTTATGTGTCTATGGTTCATCCTGCGGGCTCGGGGTTTTGGCTGTCTCAGAGCAGCAGGTCCTTACAATGGAGATGGACAATGCAACAGGCTACTTTTAAGATTGATGGCGTTTCCACTACGTACTTGTCGAATCTTCCTGAAGGGTCTTTCAATTTCATGGAAACTGTTCCTTACTCTGTGTCACAGAACGGTACTTTAAGTCCCAAGTATGTTGTCATGCTTTCAATGTGCTTGCAAGGGGGGCGAGTGCCTGATAAGAGACAAGAGTTTCTTTTTGAGGACCTTTTGGAGGATTTCGATGATGGAGATCTTTGCGCTCTGTGCATGCGTTCAGATAGGAACTATGATGCCCTTGCTGCCTTCCCGTTGAAGGAAGAGTTCGCAGTTGCGAGCTCTCAGGGGAAGAATCGTCTTCCGAAGAGAATGCAGTATGTTGCACCTCAGAGATTTGCAACTTCGTCTCTGATTCAGAAATTAGCCAGCATAGACAAGCTTCTGGTTGGAACTGAACTTGAAGTGAATACTTCCACATCGCCAGAGGCTCTTGCTCTGAAGCCAAGCTTAAGGAATGTCCGGTGTCTCACTTTACCGCATCTTGAGTTTGATCATTGCAATGTCTACAGAGGCACCTTTGGGAAAACCTTGCCAGTGATTCAGCGACACCCTGATTCGGTTGTGATTTTATGGAATCAACACGATTACGATCATGTGTTTTTCATTACTCTGTCACAGCTGACTTCATGCCTGTCACGAATGGATGCAAGTAAGTGGTCCATGATTGTGTTCTGGAATGAAGGTTCTAGTGTTAGGAAGATAGGAACTCCGGATGTAGGGCTAGACTACACTGATCAGCCAGTTCCATCCGATCCATCCGGTCCTCCTCCTCTTCCGCTTCAGGGGGAAACTCCTCCAGGGGTTCCTCCAGGATACCAGGATCCTTACGTTCCAGACCAACCGCCGGAAGACGGAGGCGACCCAAGTGGGTCGGGACCGTCTCATCCGCCTGGTGGTGCTCCACAGGTCAGTATTCATCACAATCCGGATATTGACTCTGATGAAGAGCTACCGCTGGATATGACAGGACATGATGGCTATCCACCTCCGCCTCCAGGTGGAGTACAGATAGGAGGCAACACTGTGCCGATTGTCCCTGATGACGCAGACGAAGAACTTCTGATGGATGTGTCAGGTTCGCCCGGGCCTCCGCCCGATACACCTGGAAGCGGTGCTATTGCGCCGATACCAGGTCCGAGCCTGCCACCGCCGCAGGTGATGTATCCTTATGGTCCGGGATCTCAGGGCCCAGGTGGAGGAGGCGGTCCTATGGGACCGGTGCCCTTCTTGGGTTCAACACCTGAGGAAGATGCCTTGCCCATGGAAGTGCACGAAGAAGGACCGCCGCCCGGTGGACCTCCTGATGCGCCTGGGGCGAAGCAATACGCTGATCCTGACCAGATGATTCGGCCGTCACCTTATGTGCCACCTGTCAGTATTCAGCCTCTGCAGTCGATACCTAAACATCCTGAATTTCCGGCGCCGCGTTGGCAACGACCACCGTCGCCACGAAATGTGCCGGTCACGCGTGCGCGTGGGCGTCATCCCGATGATACGTCCAAGGTTAAGGCGCGCATTCCTCCAGCCGGTTCTGAACCAAAGTTGGTCTTTCCCAAGCTTAACTCCGTTCCTCCATCGCCAATCTCTCCGCCGCAGCCGGTACTGCCGCCCGTCGCCGTGTTGTTGCCGGGTCAGGGCGTGAAGAAAGAGGATTTCCCTACCGATCCGGATTTTGAGGATCCCGCTCATGAGCCGGGTCAGCCTTCCGGAGAGCCTCCCGCGGCTCCTGGCTTACCTGTGACTGAAGGGGAATTTCCCATTGTTCCCACGCCGGCAGTTGCGCCTCAGGGCCCGGCCGTTCCTGAGTCCACGTCGGACACTGATTCCAACGCTACGGTGGATTATCGGGAGCGGGCGGATTCTCTTCTTGCCTTAGTTGAAGGGGATGAGGACATACTCATTCAGCTTCCGCAGGATTTCAAGGTTCCGTCGTTTGTTCCCTTGGATGGCGATGGCTTTGCTTCGTGGTTGACTAAGCAGGATAAGATCAAGGCCGGTGTAGTCACTCCTGAAATGGCCCGAAAATTCGCTAAGGAGCTGCGAGTGGCTAAGCTTGAAGAGTTTCGTAGCTATCTTGACAATGAGGCCATTCGCCTTGCGGACCGCCGAAAGTTGGCAAAGGACGTGAATTTCTTGACCGGTCGTTGGGTCTTGACTGTAAAGGTGGACAAGAATGGCTTCTTTTCGAAGTTCAAGGCTCGTTGGGTTTGTCGGGGGTTTCAGGATAAGCATGCCTGGGACCAGCAGACGGATAGCCCGACCGCTACGCGGTACGGCTTTCGCTTGGCGGCGCAGTGTGCAGCCAATAACTACTGGGATTTGTTTCATTTGGATCTTAAGACTGCCTTCCTTCAGGGGGAAACGTACGATTTAGGCACTCGCAGTGTTGTTGTGCAACTCCCTCCTGATATTGGCTTGCCTTTCTGGCTCGTTTGCATTTGTCTTAGACCGGTTTATGGTCTAAATGATGCACCGCGAAGGTGGTGGAACAGGTTAGACAAATTCCTCCGGTCCATAGGACTGGAGCCGACCAGGGCTGATCGATGCACATACGTTGCGTATGAAGGTATCGAATCAGGAAAACAAGCCAAGCTTGCGCAAGAAGAAAGCTCCTCTAGAGGGGAGGCATCCTCTCTGTACACGGCAAGCTCCTATTTAAAGGAGGTAGCCCTGCAAGCGCTTCTCAGCTACAGCTGCGATGAAGAAAGTCAGTCACTCCCCGACACAGCGGAGGAGAGATCCTATATGAGCAACCCTGACATTGCTTCTTGTTTCAATGTCAAAAAGGTAGTTGACTACGCTTGGCGCCCAGTTACAGACAACAAGCTCTTGGGGTTTTTAGGAGGCTGTGCGCACAAGAAGCGTGGATGGTTCCCGTATGAAAACGGCCATGCTATGGTTTCCCATAGAGCTAAGGCTTTGCGAGGGCCAGATCCTACGTACAAGGTAAAGGACTATCCGTATCGGGTTTCCTTCATCTTTCGCCAAGGTACCTGGTGGGTCATCGAGCGTGCTCATGATCTTAGGATAGGAAACGAACCCTGTTACCTAGAAGAAGAAGCCGAAGTTCTTGTTTCTCTCTTCTTGCCCGAAAAGGCTTCTTATAAGGCTGACAGCCTGTCTCAATTAACTCCGGAGCTTGTAGATCAACTTCTAGAGCATTTTGTTGATCCTGTTCATGGAAGCCCAAGCCGGAATACGAAGGCTGTAGGAGTCATGAATCTTCATGTTGATGATCTGGGGAACCCCAAAGTTTCTGTCCTGGTTCCTTGAGAGGATCAAAAAGAGTTTCACTGTAGGGCATGAGGATAAGAATGACTTAACCTTCACAGGTCAGAGAGTTCGTTGGGTCTTTGATGAACAAAAGAGGAAGAAATACATTTCAATAGACCAGCAACTCAGTGTGTCAGAGCTAGAAGAGATCATTTTGCCGAAGAACCTCAAGGACACAGCTGTCTGTGACAAAACCCTACACACCTCCTACCGCTCGTTGCTTGGCAGCATTAACTGGCTTCAGTCGCGCACTCAGTTCCAAGCCTGCTACAACTTTTCTCGACTTGCTTCTGCTGCAGCTGCACCAACCATAGGTCACTGTAAGGAGTTGAACAAGCTTTGCAGACAGATCAAGTGTGATGGTGTGGAACTGAGAGTGTGGCCTGTCAAGGGTTCACCAAGGATCTTAGGAATTCCTGACGCTGCATTTAGGAATAACAGCGACAAGTCGTCACAGAGAGCTATGACGGTGTTCATAGCTGATGAACGTGTTAAGGGCAGGCGAGATACGCGAGGATCTCTCATGTTCTTTGAGTCTACTAAGATTAAGAGGACTACCCTTAGCACTACCGTTGCTGAACTCTATGCTCTCATGAAATGTTTTGGTACTTGCCAAATGCTTCGAGGTCTTTGGAAGGACATGACAGGTTTAGATGCTGAGATTCACATTCGCACCGATGCAAACAATCTCGTTACTACCGCGTCTACTACTCATGCCCCCGAACAGCAGGAAACCATTCACATGGTCCAGATGTTACGCAAGGAAGCTTGTTCGGGTGCCATTTCTGATTTGTCGCATGTTCGCACCGAGTTTTGTCTTCCGGACAGTCTCACAAAGAAAAGCGCGAATCCTCGCCAGCTTATTGAGAGTGTACGAACCGGGTGGCTCAAAGAAATTGACGCGCACCCTCCTTTTCGCACGCTGTTGGAACACAAAGCATTTTTAAACGCCTGGCTCCAAAAGGAGCTGCGGGGTTACAGTTATGTTACACAGCCCATGTTCATGCTCACGTGTCTGTGACTGCAGAGTGCGTGCGCAGGAAGTGTGCGTGCTGTGTGTGAGTGCGTTCTATTTTGGTGTTTCTCTCGCATTTGCAGTTGCTTGTCAGCTTGCTTGAGGCTCTTTTTGAATTTGTGCCTGCAATTCTCCAGAGCGTTTGCGGCAACCAAGCTTTAGTGAAGAAAACGCGCATTCGCACCATGGCTGGACCTCGCTCCAGCTTCATGTGGAACCCTTCGCTTGGAAGCAATGTGCCTTTGCTGGAAGGTTCAAATCTTCCAGACTACGGCGCGTACACTCAGTCAGCAGCGTGGCTTGGAATCCGGAGGCTTCGTGATATCGAAGGGGCCGGAAAAATAGTCTACCGCTCTGACGGTGTGCGTCACTGGCCAAACAACGTGTCAGATGAGAAGTTCCTCAATCTGGTTCCAGGTAGCGCCGATGGTTCCTTGACACCGATGCAGCGCTTGAACTGTCTTGAAGGACAGGTTAGCTTGCTGTACCACGTCGCTCTGTATGAGCAGACACACCATGTCAACATTCTGTCAGGGTGGCAGTCATGGAAAATGGACTTCCTCAGGTTCTTCATGGGCTCCGTGACAACGGAGGAGATGAAGAAGTTCCAGGAGGAGGCTGCAACCATTGACAGAGAAGGTCGGTGGCATGGAACCTTTGCTTCCAGAAAAGGCAAAAAGCTCACTTATGAACTACGCCACAACACCAGAAATAAGCAGCACCTGGGTCCAGACAACGAGCTCCCGTTGGAGCTGTTGCAGAGGGAGATGCGTTGGCTTGACATGAGTCCACTCACAGCCTTCAGTCTGCTAGCCGGAAACTCCAAGGCACGCTACCGCATCATTGTCAAACTCGTGGACGTTGACTTCAGCGACCTGAACAAGCTTGACTTCGACATTTATGTGGCGGCGTGGCAAGGTCATTCCCGGATGGCGGACAGCCTCTCGGAGACAGCGCTGGGCGAGGTCCTCACGCTGGAGAGGTGTAGGCAACTGGGCTACATCTTCCACTCAGCATTCGCCAAGGACTACCAAAGCATTCAGTCTCAGGGGATGCTAAGGTCGTCTGTCAAAGAGCAAGGACAGAGCGGCCGCCTCGCCATCCACTTTGTGTATGGTGGAGGTACCGAGGCCCCGCGACAAGGGACCCTCATCTGGGAAGGCAACGACCGCTTCTACGTCAATCTCGACTACGAGACCCTGTACGCGGATGGTCAAGCGTTGCACTTCACGCCTAACGGTGTGGTCTTGGCCTACTTCGACGTGGCGCCCAAGTACCTCACACACCACTGGCGTCCTCCCTACGAGAAGGATCCTGGTGGCCGCCGGTGGGACAAGCGACGTGAAAACGTCGGTAGCCCAACCGAAGGCCAAGCGTCGGCCAGCTCTTCCTCGGGAGGCTTTCCGAAAGGAAAGGGACCCACAGAGCAGACCGAAAAGGGAAGCTCACCGAAAGGTGAGGTACCCAAGGTCACCGTCAATGAGCTGCGAAGACTCATTGAAGAGGAAGAGACAAGGAACCTCCGAGCCGCAGAAACAATGGAGATGGGCCGAGCGATTCCCTTCGAGCGAGGAGTCGAAGTCGAAGGCCGAGTTGATACTGGGAAAGTCCGCGTCGAGAAGATGCAGAGTGCTTTCGACCGGCTCAACGCAAACCCGTGGTTCCTGTATGAGCAGGGCCATTTGAAGCTGCGGAACAGCATGGGCCGTCGCGTCCGCACAGACCTGGGAGATCATCCGGCGCGATGCACTGGCTCTCAGGGAACGACTGGGCGACGTCGGACCAGCTGAGTGGTGGCGCCATCCTCTCAGTGGCTACTCTGTAGCGCTTTTCCTCAAGGCCTTCGACTACGGCAAGCGGCAGGGCTGCTACTGGGCTGAAATGCAAAAGGAGCATATCTACACGAGGCCAGACAGCCATGGAGTAAACGTCACTGGCTATGAGTCCCCTCTCGGGCTCACTGGGAACCTTCTGTCAGAGCTCAACTTGCTCGTCTCCAGGGAGTTCCCAGACGCGGAGATGGTTGACTTCCTATGTCCTGACAAAGATGATCCACGCGCCCGCCGTCCTGACGCCAACCTCGCGGACTACGCTGAGAGGCTCGAGGTGCACCATGCTTTCCAGAAGGAAAGGGAGGTGTACCAAGAGCTGAACCACGTCCGGGCGGACTTCGAGGTCTTGGTCGACATCATCGGAGAGCTCTACGGCCAGGACTTGCTGGCTTACCTCCGACGACACGAACATGACCGAAACGTCAGGGAGCGCTACAAGGTCCGTCTCAATGGGCCAGATGGTGCAGTTGAGCTTTTTGACTGCCCTTTGCTCCAAAGATGGAGTCCCGCCTTGGTGATAAGCAAGGTGAAGGCGCGCTTCCAAGAAGGCACTGGACCAGCAAGCTTCTCCTCACGACTCGCGCTCAAGGCCTGGAGGGATCTCCTCTCCTACGAGGAATACAAATCGCGAGAAAACGAGGTCCTTGAAGAACTCCTGGCTCGTCCCTTCTCTGATTTGGTTGTGGAAGAGTTCCTTGATGACACCAACAACATCACCATCGAGGAGGAGGTCGAAGAGATGGAAGTTGAAGAAGGAGGCTCCTTGTTAAAGGAGGAACTGGACTCAACTCCAGAGGCTGAGCTCGCCGCCATGCAGGTGGATGAGTCGACAGACACCCAAGGTGGAAGCTCCCTTACAAGGGAGGAACCGCCGTCTGAGGCTTCCCCAGCAAAAAGGGCGAGGAAGGTCCGTTTTGAGGAGAGTTGCAAGAAGGAAGATGGTCCTGGTCCTTTGCGCAGACGAACGAGGAAGCCTTCGCCAAAGACCGTCTACAGGTTCGAGTGGCCTGAAGATGAGAAGAAGAAGGATGGTCCTCAGAGTTCATCAAGTTCAGCTGCAGGCTTGTCAAAAGACAAGGAAGCAGACGAGATGGACACTGAGCCTCCTCAGTTCGTCAAGCTCGAAGAAGAGACAGGCGTGCACCAAGGAATCTGGGGCAAGCAGAAGACCCATCTTTCTCCCGATGAGTTTCAGGAAGCCGCCAAGATCTTCGCTGAGATGGATGCTCCTGGTGAAGAAGCGACCGCCACGGACAACGAGCAGGCAGTGGAGGCCATGCATGTTGTTTCTGAGACAAAGGATCTTCGCCAGTCAGCAGCATTTCGGGAGTTCGTCGAGAAGCACCGCGAGACGGAGACATGGTCACCGATCTTCCTGCTCAGCAAGCAGAAGCATGGAAGCGCCTCAGGGATCTACCACCAGGATCTCCGGGGTGATGATGCGAACTTCTTCATGCTGCAGCACATGAGGTTTCGCCAGCTTACTGGCGACTTCGCGAAGCACCCGTGCGCCCACTACGTGGCGAAGGAGTCTACTGTCTTCAGAGAGATGGCGAAGTTGCAGCCCATCTATGAGAGGAGGCCTCATCGCAACGAAGTGGTTTTTCGCGCAGGCGATGTTCGCAGCACTCTCGACGCAGAGCTACTCCGACGCGCTGCAAAAATGCCGGCAAGGGTCGAAGAACTGGAAGAGAGACTGCAGCGGGCAATACGCAGGCAGGGTGCCACGCGCGAAGAGCTCACGAATGCGATGTTGCACTACTTCCTAGCATGTGGCATCACAGAGAGTGCAGTGGGAGGCTTGTCTCTAGACGAGGAACCCGAAGACACTGTGCCTGAGTTTCGACAGGAGGCTGGCGGAAGGCCTGTCTCCACTTCCAAGTCGTACCTCACTGTTATGGTGCTCAACCTGGGTAACTTCGAGCGAGGTCGTAAGAACACAGTGCCAAGAGAGTATCGAGAATTCGTTTCGAAAGGCAATGACGGCATCAGCGTTTTGGTCAGAGCAATGGCACTCATGAAGAGCCATGTTTTCCTTTTACAGGAGGCGTCAACTCTTTCTGCTGAAGACCTGACCTACTTGAAGGACAACTGCTGGGAGTTCTGCAGAAACCCGGCAGGAGACCTCATGATAGCCTTCCGTACAAACCATTGTGGCCAACACATCAAAATGGTAGCAGGTAGCACCTACGGCTACGAAGACCACAAGCACATGCCGCTCAGCTACCAGATTGTAGACATCTGCTTCGGCTCCACCTTGTCTTCAGAGACTTTGGATGCCAAACTGGCAGGCTTTCCGAAAGGAAAGGGAGCCATTACAAGGCAGAATTGTCAGCCGCAAGAATTCGATACTCCCTTGACAAGAGCAGGACTGAATCGTATCAGAATCTGCAACTTTCATCTGCATTCTCACATCGCCAGAAAGAAGGTCGCCTTGTCGCACGAGAGTCTCGCGATCATGATGGCCGATTGCTTCAGCATGCAAGTGGACATTATCGGTGGTGATGCAAACATGGCAGCGTACCGATTCCAAGGATCTACGCAGGCCAGTGCATCCATCCGAGATAGTAGTTTCCAAGACATGGTGCGCTACTTCTGCGAAGCGTACAAAGCGGCCCTTGGAAATGATCCATTCACATGCCCTAAGCCGAGGTTCATGTCGGCCAATCCTCTTGGCGTTCTTCACTGGTACGAAGAAACATACAGCATGCCTTATCGCAACGCACCTCAGGTGGATTGGCGTACTGCTCCTTCCCTCGATTGCATAGTCGCTTGCGTCCTCGAATGGGACCACTCGTATTCTCCGCAGCGATGGCCTACGAAAACCGATGCTAGGGAGGCTGAGTACAAGATCCATGTGTCAGAGTGGGTGCTGAACACCAACAGAAGCCATTACATGCTGGTGGACAGTGACAATGACAGTCATACGCCCTTGCTTTTCACCTTGACACCTATGTGGCTGTCGAACCAACAACGCAAGGAGCTAGACCGTCGTGGAGCCACTGTCAAAGAAGCTGCTGACCGCAGAAAAGAGCGCCAAAAGGCCAACAAGGCGAAGGCACAGCCACAAGAAGCACCTCCAGCCAAGGGTGCAGGAAAAGGCAAGGAGAAGGGCTTGAAGGGCAAGTTCACGGGCAGGGCAAGGGCAAGAGCAAGGGGAAGAAGTGAGTGCAGGTTCAGGTAGGAAGACTTCCCGTCAAGGAAGATATCCAATGTCTGCATTTTCTTCTCAGCTCATAAGGAAAGACTTCTTGACTAAGAAGATATTCCTATGCTCCAGGGGAGAAGCCTCTTGAACAAGAGGGAACTCCCTTCTTGTCTGTGATTAGCCAGCCGTATGTTCTTCCTTGAATTTGTGATGCGTGGCATCCTGTTGATGAGCATATATCCTTGCCATAGAAGGAGATCTCATTTTGCTGTATCTCCTCAGGGCACACACAGAAAGGTGTGAGCCGACACAGTTAGAATGCTTCCTTAAAGGAAGGAATCTCAACTGAAGCAGCTGGCAGTTTGATTCTATCTTTGGATCAAACCGGAATCTCGACTGCGATGCGAAAGTTTGCTGTTTCTTTCGAGAGTCTTTCTGCGTGAGTTCGTGCTGTGTTTATATGCCGTTTATATATGGAATGTTTTTCACTCCGACGAGTATAGAGCCTGAGCTGTATAGGCAGAGCAAGCCGACTCCACGGCCATGCATCACTCTTGGATTTTTACATTTGTGCCTGGTTGAAGATCTGAGATCAGCTGGGTCTTGATGTCCAATCATAATGCATGTTGCTCTCATGCTCAAGGTTCTAGCGGATACTACTCTACTCCGTGCGCCTGGAGTAAAACAGAGACTCCTGTCCGCCTTGCTGACTGTACCTTAGTGAGGTCAGTAACGCTCAGGTTACATCTCAGGGGGGGGGTGGCGGGGGTGGGGGGGGGGTTGGGGGGGGGTGGGGGGGGTGGGGGGGTGGGGGGGGGGGGGGGGGGTTGGGTGGGGGGGCTGCTGGGAGGGGCTTCAACTGCCTCTGGTCCTGGCGAACCGTCCGCTTGCGGACCCCGGTTTCCCAGAGGGGGTACCCATTTGAGGCCAAAAAAGGGGGGGCTTTGGGCCTGTTCTGACAACCGAAACCCCTCCGACCCGAGGCGTCGGCGGATTCCTAAGCCCTAAACCGTAAACCCTAAACCCTTAGCCTAAACCCTAAACCCTAAGCCAACCCCAACCCCTAATTCCTAAACCCCAAACCCTCATCATTCAGGAACGACCTGTCTGCTTGGAGCCTGCCTTACTGTCGCTGAGAGATTTGCCTCTTCACTGTGAACCCTTTCAGCCCCAGAAACCACACAACAACCCTATGAAACCCATCCCTTTAGCAATCCCTATACTGAGCCCTGTACCCGAAACCCGAAACCCTAAACCCTAAACCCTGAACCCTGAACCCTAAACCCTAAACCCGAAGCCCCCACGGAAACTCTAACAGGGCGGCTTCGACGCCCAGCTGGGCAGGTGCACCAGCCTTCCATGTGTGCCGGACATCATCAGCTTCAACACGGCGCTCGGCTCAGCCCTAAATCCTAAACCCTGAACCCTAAACCCTAAACCCTAAACCCCCCTATTCCTCCCAGCGAGTTATAGGGTTTGGGGTTCAGGAACACCTCCCATCCCCGGTCCCCCTCCCAGTGTTTGGGGTTGATAGGGTTTAGGTATTTACCCAGAGAGTCCCCCGGAACTAAGGAATACATCTGCAAGTTTTGCACCAAGGCATATTCCATAATTTCTGTTGGTGTTTCTCTCTCTCTCGCTCTCTCGCGCTGTCTCTCTCTTTCTCTCTCTCACTCTTTCTGGGTACGCTTCGGTTTTCAGGACCCGTTGCTGTTCTGCCCAGGACTGTGGAGCTTTCTGTGCGTTCTTGCTTGTCTCGGCCGTTTGCTTCGTCCTGTGTCCCCTCATTCGGGGTTAAAACGGTCATATTTGTATGTAAACTTTCCATGGGGTTGAACCCTAAACCCTAAACCCCAATTAAACCCTAAACCCTAAACCCTAAACCCTAAACCTTGACAGAGCCGACCTTGTGGTCCCTTCCGAGAATATCAACGCGTTGGGGCCTTGATCCACATTGACATGACGGGAAGGTGGGGGGTTTAGGGCTAAGGGCGCATGATCCATTCTAGCATTGTCCTTACGCCCAATTGGCCTATTCTGAGAGTTTAGGGAGGGCTTTTTATTGTGAGATTCGAGTATTGCCCTTATACCACAGATGGGCCTATCCTGGAGATCAACTTCCCACCTCCTAAACCCTAAACCCTGGACACTAAACCCGGAACCCATCCTGAAACCGCCACCAGGTCCTCACAGCCTTGCAGAAGGCGAGCTGGGCCTTGGGGGTTTAGGGGCATTTAGGGGTACTTCGGGGTACTTAGGTCTACTGAGGGGTATTTGGGGGTACTTAGGGGTATTTGGGGTACTTAGGGGTACTTAGGGTACTTAGGGGTACTTGGGGGTATTTAGGGGCATTTAGGCGTTTAGGAGTTTCAGGGGGTTAGAGGTTGGGGATCTGGGGTTTCGGGGTTTAGGGGGGTTCAGGGGTTTAGGGGTGTAGGGGTTTGGGGATTTGTTGTTTAGGGTTTGCGGCGTGGTGGGGGATTGCAAATCCCTGAACCTTAAGCCCTGAAACCCCAATCCATAAAACCGGTACAATAGATGGTGGAGGGATGGTTGTTGGGTCCATGGCTTGAAGTTTGAGATTTTTAGGGTTTAGTGTTTAGGGTTTAGGGTTTAGGGTTTAGGGAATTGGCGGGTGGGGGGTGGAGGGTTGGGGGGAGGGGGGGAGGTTTGGGGCTGCTGAGCTCTGGGTAGAAACGAAAGGAACCTTGAGGCTTGGACCCTGAAGCCCCTAAACCCTAAACCCTAAACCCTAAACCCCTCTGAGGGGCCGGGATTAATCAGAGTATAGGTTTAGGGTTCTAAGCGCTAGCGCTTTGGGCTTTGGGCTTCGGGCTTAGTTAGGTCTTTGGGCTTAGGGCTTAGGGCTTAGGGTTTAGGGTTTAGGGTTTCAGCCCAAAATGAGCCCCTCAATGCGGAAGGCCAGCGAATGGCAGTGGGCCGCGTGGCTGCTTCGGCATGAGCTTCCCAAGCGAGGACTGGAGATCCACACGAGGACGGCGCTTTTGGGAAAGGGTTCAGGGTTTAGGGTTTAGGGTTTAGGGTTTAGAGTTTAGGGTTTCGGGCTTGTGCCGCTCAAGCTTCAACAGGCAACTTTCTTGGCAACTTTCTTGGACAATTTCAGAAGGGATGATTCCCTGTATACCCATCCATCCCCGGCTGGGTCCTCTCATGATCCGTCTACACTAGCTACCCCCCCCCCCCGTCCGTCCCTGAAGCACCGCAGAAGCTCCAGGGAACGTGCACAGGACTTAGGAAACAATTCCAACCCCTATGATTTATGCAGCAAACTAAACCCTAAACCCTACACCCCAAACCCTAAACCCTAAACTATCGGGCCACACCTTTGACCCTCAACCCTGGAGGACCCTGAATTCAGCCATCGGTGTCTACGAGGCAGAGGGGGCTGGGGGGGGGGGGGGGGGGGGGGGGGGGGGGCGGGGTGGGACCTCTCCTACCTCAGATTTTAGGGTTTAGGGTTTAGGGGATACTCCTTCTAGATTCCAGCTTAGGTGCCCTAAATTTGGGCTCACAGGCTCTTGTCTTCCCAAAAGCTTTTATCCCCACAAGCCCTAAGTCAACACACTGCCCCAGGCAGACCTGTGGCGTGGCAGCCTTATGGTCCTAGACAGCGCTGGGCAGGCAGGGTTTGGGGCGTTTGGGTGTTTAAGGTGTGTTGGGGGCTTGGGGTGTTTTGGGGGGTTTAGGGCTCACAGGGTGTAATCAGGGTTAAGGCTTTAGGGGCTGTTTGGCGAATTGGGGTGTATGAGGTCTCGTAGGTTGTGTCAGGCCTTCTCGCTGGTTGATTCGGCTCAGTTTGGGTTTGGAGCCCCACCTCCTCCACCGCACAAGACGCCACCACCTTCACCCTCCAAGGTCTAACTGGGCCAAAACCCTAAGCGCGATCAGCCCTAGTAACCCTAAGCCTATGAAGCTTGTGAACACCTGCCTAGACCCTAAACCCTGAACCCTAAACCCTAAACCCTAAACCCTAAACCCTAAACCCTAAACCCTAAACCCCAAACCCCAAACCCTAAACCCTAAACCCTAGACCCTAGACCCTAGACCCTAAACCCTAAACCCTAAACCCTAAACCCTAGACCGTCAACCCGATGCCTCTGGCCGAGGCCGCTGTACCTCGGGACTTGGCCTCGCGCTTGGCTGGTGCTTAAGGGTTTAGGGTTTAGGGTTTAGGGTTTAGGGTTTAGGGTTTAGGGCTAGGGTTTAGGGTTTAGGGTTTAGGGCAAGGGTTTAGGGTTTAGGGTTTAGGGGTTTAGGGTTTAGGGGTTTAGGGGTTTAGGGTTTAGGGTTTAGGGTGTCGGGTTTGGTGAATTGTGGTTGAGGGCTTTGGAGTTGAGGGAGGGGCTTTCCACTTAGTCGCGGTTTAGGGTATGGATTCAGGGAACCAGTGCTTAAGATTAAGGAGATTGTAGTTTTTAAGAGGGTGAGGCTTCAGGGTTTCGGTTTGCAGTTTAGGGTCTAGAGCACAAAGTGCGCAAATTGCTTTTGGGGTTTTAGGCCTTAGGGTAAGGGTCTAGGGATGTCGGGCTTGGCGGATGTAAAGCGACGGCGTCTTTTTACGGGCTGCGAGGGTTTTTTGGTCGAAGGCGCGCAGGGCCTTTAGGATGCCAGGATGTTTTGGTGCCTTTGGGGTGTAGGGTTTCGTGTATTCTGGGCTTAGGTTTGAGGGTTGAGGGTATTTAGGTTTTAGCGTTTGAGGAGATTTGGGGGCGGGGGGGGGGGTCGAATGCTTCCTAAGAGAGCCTCGGGCTTTGGGCAGCACACATTGTGAAGATCGCCTAGGGCCCACCACTTGCAAGAACCATTGAAAGATGCGCGTCATTGGGCCTGGTACTCCTTAACCACCCCTACGCAAATACCAACCATGTCTCATCCCAGAAGTACCTGGGATATGAAGCAAAGTTCCATTGCAGGGTACTGCGTGAGTTCACGGCTTTATTTGTGTTTTCTTTGTTCTGGGGCCGTATTGGCAATGCCGCTGAGGGATCATGGTGCCAGGGGCTTAGGGGGCTTAGTGTTGGGATGTTCCCCCTTATACTAACAGTCCTTAATGGGGATTGTAGTACCGCACTATTGTCGTCCCTCTGAAGGACTGTAAGTATAAGGGGGAACCTCCCAAGCTTAGTGTGCTTAGGTTGCAGCTGTGCGGACCAAGGTCAGCTACAATGGCGCCGTGAGCTGTCTTGCCAAGGCTCCAATGGTACTACTTGGAGGTTCATGGTACTTATTTACCAATTATAGCTGTACTTTTATAACCCGGCCCCTTAAGTGCCCTAATATGGGTGTAAGTACAGTGATAAGTACAGTTACAATTGGTTAGTAAGTGAGATGAGAATCCAAGTACTCGCAATTTAGGGGTCCCAACTTGTTTGTCTTTGTGATACTACTTGTTCAGGTTTCAAGATACTACAAAGGCAAACATGCTGGTAATAAGTTGGGCTCGAAATTTACATACCAGACCTGTTCTTTCCCACGAAGCTTGAGTTTCGGGCCATGTGGCCCACCTTACTGCAATGCCACACCCACAGTCTCTCTGGTGAAGTGGACACTAAGCCCTGCACCCTAAAGCCTAAACCCTAAACCCTAAGCTCTAAACCCTAATCCTAAACCCTAAACCCTATAAACCCTACACCTTAAGAATTGCACCAGGGCGGCCTCGGCTGAATTTCCGGGCAGCCTCAAACGCTGGGGTTTACGGGGTTGAAGGGCTTAAAGGAGGGAGGACGGAGTGGGCTTAGCTTATTTAGATCGACATACAGCCTCAGAGCGTTTGTGGGTTTAATCTGAAAACCCGAAGCCCTTCTCTGCGTAAGCTCCGCTTGCTTGTAAGCCCTGAGCCCTTCACCGAAACCCTAAACCCTAAACCCTAAACCCTAAACCCTAAACCCTAAACCCTAAACCCCGAAGCATCTTTGGGCCGAGAAGTTATAGCCCCTCCAGGGTGTTGTCCTTCCCGAGGCAGCTTCTGATCACAAGCGCCCCTCGGGTCTGGTACCTACTGTAGAGCCCAGACTAGGCCCTGATTCCCTGTGTTAATTAGGCTTATACCCTTTCTAAGCACTCTTTTACCAAAAGAAACCGGCCACCCTTCTCATTCCTGGGTTACTCTTGGGCAAGGTACTGTTGGGTAAGGAGCACTGTGCTTGGTTTGGGGCACATAGTTCCCTTGCTGTATTCTACGAAGCATAAGGTCAAGTGCCCGCACAGGCGAGGAACTTCAGTTTGAAGTCTAGGTAGAGCCGTTACACCAAGCTAATCAGTCTCACGGTCATGGTGTCCATCTTATGAGGGAGAGGCGGTGGGGTTAGGGTAACGATGGTTTAGGGTTTAGAGTTTAGGGTTTAGGGTACGGCAGAGTTCTCATGACACCCCAACTCCTACAGTGGCACGCACGACTGTGGGCTCAAGGCGAGTTGTAGCAAAGGGGGTTCAATTGCTGTTCGTGTTTTTTTTGGTTGCGTGCGAGAAGAGCACCATGGGAGACTCTGCCTACATTTACGGCACCTTCATCAATGAGGAGGAGGCCCGACAGTACTCGGTTTAGGGCATAGGGTGCGGGGTTATTTCACACACGGAGGTGTGGCAACGCCTACTACCAAACCTTTGGCAGAGTAAACCGTGGCCAAAACTAAACCTAAAACGAAACTCCAAGGGTAACTACATGGTCCCTTCGTATGGCCCCTGAAAAGGGGACCGCACATACCCATACTTCGGAACCCTTAAAGGGAGGTGAGGGACCATATGAAGGGCCCATGTAACTACTAGTACTCTTAGAATTACCCTAGGGCCTAAACCGTCTAAACCCTAAACCCAGCTCCCAAAGTTGGCGGTTGGAAATTGCAGCGTTTAGGGTTTAGGGTTTAGGGTTTAGGGTTTAGGGTTTAGGGTTTAGGGTTTAGGGTAGGGTTTAGGGTCACCCGAGATCTTCCAGTGATCCTCCCCACTCTGATCCTCAGATGTATGCTGGCCCTGAACCGTACATCCAACATCCTGAAGGGACCTGGGAGAACCTAATCCCAAAGCCCAAACACCCTAGAACCCTCTAGGTGTGCAGGGCTGTCAAGCAAGTGGCCCATACTAGATGAACTGGACCGAAACCACTGGCCTATGGCGTGCTCGGGCGTGTTTAGGATTTTAGGGTTTATGGCCTCAGGGACCATGTGGGCTTGAGGGAATTTGGGGAGTTTCAGTTTCAGGCTGTCACGCTGTAATGTCTTCGAGCCTTGGGAGCTTCGTGGCTTGTAGTGTTTCAGGATTTACGCTTTGAATGCGCCAGGGCCTTGATATCGAGTTGCCCAGCAGCCCCAAACCCTAAACCCTAAACCCCCAAGGGTTCGGCCAGGCCGTGTCGAGCACGTAGGGTTTCTCTCCTCTGGCCGGGAAGTCCCCACGCGCAACCCCAAGCCCAATCCCTGTGCAGGTCGTCCAGTTGTTCCGAGACTTCATGCATACCTTCAAGAAGGACGCGGCTTATTGGGCCTCCTATCCCTGAAGCCTTTAGACCCTGAGAATTCAGGGTATAGAGCTTCAGCGCCCTTTTTTTGGGCTCCGGCTTTCAGCCAGCAATGCAAATGGCTGCAGCGGAAATAGTTTCTTATCCCCAGACAACCCCTGACCCTAGCTGGGGTTATCGTTTCTTTTCCAGTGTATGGGGGGTGTTGCAAAATTTTGGGACAAGGGGTTCTGATTTGAGATCAACCTCACGTTTGTTGAGGGGAATGCTCCGGTACCCCGCGGTTAGGTTCAGGGGATTTCCAGGGAACGCCTCCATTAACATAATCAGTACATCATTCGAATACACGCGTAACCTGCACAGAGGGGGACATTCGGGTCGCATGATCACCTTCAGAATGGGTTTAGGTTTAGGGTTCAGGGTTGAGGGTTCCTCGATCTGTGCAAATCATGCTGATGCCCCAAGCCCTCTCTTGGGTGTCGCAGTGCACAGTTTATAGAACTCTTAAGGGAGGGGGTTCAAGGGGGATATGTAACCCAAGGTTCCCAACTAGATACTCCCCACTACTCCCGAAGGTTCCCTTAGGTTCCCGAGGTACCTACCCCCCCCATGAACACCCTCCCCTAAGGACCCTGTAAGCAGTTGGAGGTAACGCCCCCCCACTCCAACTGCAGGAACCTTGCTCAACGAACGTTGCCAATTGCTGTCATCGACGCCGATGTAGGCAATAGAACTTTGCAGTCTGTGTAGGATCACTCGACGCAACCAAGTAGGTAAAGTAGATGAAGAAACAGGATGCAGCTTCGGCTTGTGCGAACCCCCTTTCTGAAGGGTGGTTTGTCTGAGTGTGTCTGTGTGTGTGCGCGCGCCTACCCTAAACCCTAAACTCCCTAAACTCCCTCAACTCCCTAAACTCCGTAAAGCCCTAACCCTAAACCCTTAATCTCCCTTGGGCAGCAAGGCGGGTTCAGGGGCTTAGGTGCTCAGGGACTCTTGGTTCGCCTTTGGGGGAAGGACGAAGATGGCGACACCCTGTACATGAAGGCGCTGCGCAAAGGTGCGGAACCCCAGCCCCAAGTCCTAAACTTCAAGCCCTGAGCCCTATCTTAGGGCATAGGGTTGAGGGTTTAGGGTTTAGGGTTTAGGGCTTAGGGCTTAGGGTCTAGGGTTTAGGGCTTATGACTTTACAAGCTTACCCCAACAGTTGTCGCCATCATGAAGCCCTCAGTTCGTAGGGCTAGGGATGAAGCGCGCAGGGTTTGGAACTTTGAAGATGTCGACATGGGTCAAAGATGGTCACTTCTCGAAATTGTCGCCCTTTGGGGTCCTTACCATAAGGCGGCCCTTCTTATTTACGGTACCCTAAAAGGGGACCATAATGTAGAGAACTGACCATATGTGTGTTGGGAGCCTGGGGTTTAGGGCCCTGTGGTTTAGGGTGTAGAGAGTGTGGTTGGGGCCTCAGATTGATGGATCCTTTTCAGTTTCGAGTTTAAAGTTTCGGGCTTCTGAGCCCTTAACCCCCAAACCCAAAACCTTGAGCTTGACAGACTACGCAGCTCATATAGCAGATTCTGGAAGATCTTTTCTCTCGGAGAGTGCAGCCCTAAACCCTAAACCCTAAATCCTAAACCCTAAGCCCTAAACGCCCTTTTTTTTTGGGGGGGGGGGAGGGTTAGGGTCAGCCTGGGCTGAGATGGTAAGATTTCGGGGCAGGGCAGGATAGCCCTGAAGCCTCAAACGCCAGGCTTGAGGGGCTTTGGGCTTTAAGCGGTTGACCGCGGCCTTGGGCTTCAGGGTTAAAGTTTAGGGTTTGGGGCTTGGGGTTTGAGACTTGGGGTTTGAGACTTGGGGTTTGGGGGATTAGCGTTTGGGGTTTGGGGTTTGCCGCTTAAGTATTGGCACCTAAGCCCTGAGCCCTAAACCCTAAACCCTAAACCCTAAACCCTAAAAAACCCTAAACCCTAAACCCTACACTCCCCAAGGTTAGAAGTTCCTGCCCAGGCTGGCATGTCGACGACGGCTTCGGCGAGAAGCTGCGGAAGACCATGAAGCTGCCGATTCAGGGGGTGCACATCCACGAGCTCCTAGGGGGCGGTTGAGGGTTTAGGGTTTAGGGTTTAGGGTTTAGGGGGGTTTAGGGGGGTGTAGGGGTTTAGGGTGTAGGGTTCCCTGAATCGAGTCCCAGGATGCCTATCCTTTAACTTTTGGAGGGCTTGGGCTTTGGGCTTTGGGCTTTGGGCTTTGGGCTTTGGGCTTTGGGCTTTGGGCTTTGGGCTTTGGGCTTTGGGCTTTGGGCTTTGGGCTTTGGGCTTTGGGCTTTAGGGTTTAGGGTTTAGGGTTTAGGGTTTAGGGTTTAGGGTTTAGGGTTTCGGGACCGAAACCCTGCGCCATTTAGGGTGCGGCCTAAGGTTCTCGGCGAAGCTCTACGACCATGTCGTGTACTACCCAAGTGAGGCTGGGCAGTCTCCTGGCCCTGGGTTTAGGGCTGATAAGGAAAGGTTTTAGGGTCTAGGGTTTAATTAGGGTTTATTTAGGGTTTAGGGTTTAGGGTTCAGGGTTTAGGGTCTAGGGTCTAGGGTTTAGGGTTTAGGGGGTTTAAGGTCCCTCCTTGCAACCCCAAACTCTTCAGCCCTAAAAACCCTAAACCCTGAACCTGTAGCAATGGACCCAGTTCAGACCTAAGCCACGACCCTAAAACCCAAGAACCCTAAAGCCCAGAATCCTTCAACCCCAGAAGTAGACGACTGCCGGATGCAGGGAGGCCTTGAATTAACAAAGCTCTCAACCCTGAATTCTGAACCCAAGACTCAAGGCAGGACCGGCTCTTTTTCTTTCACATGTTGCCTTGTTGGGCTTAAGGGAATCATCTTCAAGATGTGTTTCAGAGGGCTTGAGGAGGCCAACCTAGGACTCATATGTAGTGTTTAGGGTTTAGGGTTGAGGGCGTGTTTTCTGGGCTGGAAGCCTTCGCGCGAACCCTGCCCGCCCCCACCTCGGAATCTTCGAGACTAGGGTGGCAGAGCTGTGGGCGAGTACGTACAGTGTGTGTGTGTGTGTGCGCGTGCATTATATATGTATATATCTATATATTTATTTATTTATTTATTTATTGATAGAGAGAGAGAGAGAGAGATAAAGAGAGAAAGAGGAAAATAAGATTAATCAAGACCATCACACCTCTGGCCCAGCGTCACTGGGCGGCTCTTTCCAGGTCTCTGAAAATTGGGCACCCTAAACTGGGCCCAAGCCCCCAATCCCCTGTTCACAGCCAGTTTAAGACGCCCAGTAAGACACCTCTTCCCTAGGTTCCAGACTAGGCCCTCCCTTTTTAGGGTTTAGGTTCCCGTATAAGCCTCTTTAAACCCCAAAAGAGCACGCGCTTTGTTCCTAGGTTACTCTTGGGTCTCTCCCTTTCCGGTGCGCGAGAAAGCGCATAGTGATCGCTTCAGGTGGTGCCGATCTTCGATCGCGAGCTCTGGCAACTTGGCGTGCGTCTTTGTTCTTGAGCCCCTGCCTTGCACTCTCAACCCTAAGCCCTAAGCGCTAAACCCTAAGCTTATAAACCCACTTGGGACTTGGGATCGCAGACCTTACGCGAGCTTCTGGGTTTGGGTCCTGAAGGGGGAGGTTTGCCCATGGCTTCCGGGACGCGTCCTTTTGGTGAGCAAGTTTGGGGTTTTGAGGTTTTTGGGGAAGCGGTTCAGGGTCTAGGGTGCAGGGTTCAGGGAGGGACCCTGAACCCCCTGAACCCTGAGCCCTAAACCCATTTAGGGGCTGAGGCTGTTCGACGCTTGAGAGCCCCCCCAAACCCTAAACCCTAAATCCTAAACCCCAAACTCTAAACCCTAACCCTAAACCCTCCTCCAGGTTGCCAGTATAGCTGCGACCCAACATGACCCAACCCATTTCAGCCCTCTACAAACCTGCCCCTTTTGGAGGGGGTTTAGGGTTGAAATAGGGTTTAGGTTTAAGAGCTTGGGTTTTGGGTTCAGGGTGTAGAATCAGGTTTTCCGGGGTTTCGGCCTCAGGGTCCCATATGACCCAACGCTTCACCCGTAAAACCAAAACCTTTGACCCGCGACCCCAATCTCCCCCTACAACCAACCCTAAACCCTAAACCCTAAACCCTAAAACCCTAAACCCTAAACCCTAAACCCTGAACCCTAACACTTCTGCAGGGAGATCTCCTCGAACATGCTCGGCGTGAATCCTGACGACCTCGGTACCTGCCAGGCTCGCGGCTTCGGGCGTGTGGTGTGCTTCGGTAGTAGGGTTTAGCGTTTAGGGTTTAGGGTTTAGGGTTCAGGGTTCAGGGTTTAGGGTTTAGGATTTAGGGTTTAGGGTTTAATTAGGGCTGAGGGCTTAGGGTTTAGGGTTTAGGCATACTAACTGTAGTTAAGGGACTCATAGCCTACTTTAGGATCCCTATAACCCAATTTAAGATCCTCATCACCCTGCCCCTCCTGGTAGTAAGCAGCCAATCCTGCAGCCTCTCTTCGGTTGCAGACCGGCTTTGCGGCGGTTCTTGGGGTCATTGTGGGCTTCGGAATGACCTGAACCTGCAACCCTACAACCCCGAAATGCCTACAGCCCAATGATAAAAACCCGAAAACCTTAGAAACCCTAAGCTCCCTAAGCTCCCTAAGCCCTAAACCCTAAACCCTAAACCCTAAACCCCAAACCCCAAACCCCAAAGCCCAACCCTAAAACCCTAAAACCCTAAAAAACCTAAGCTCCCTAAGCCCAAAAGCTAAAGCCGCAACCGCCCAAGCATGGCAGGTTCAGATCTACGCGCTGCTTCTGGGCCGCAGTTTTGGCGGCTCCTGAGATAGGAGGGCTCGTAGGATGGTTGTAGGCTTAGGGTTTGGGGTTTGGGGTTTAGGGTTTAGGGCTTAGAAGGTTTCGGAGGTTAAAGGATTGGGGTTTTGGGAGGTTCAGGTCAGCTAAGGTCTTAGTTTTTTGGGGGCTCGAGGTTTTCGGGTTTACTGGGGTCGAAGGTTTGGGTTTAGGGTTTAAGGTTTAGGTTTAGGGTTTAG